GTCTCCAAACTGCGGCCTGGGGGCTGGATGTGGCCCTTTGCTTGTCTTTATCCAGCCTTTGGGGTACTACTTCTTCTGACACCAATGATGGGGCACCATTCCTCCCACTGACACCATTGATGGGGCTCTATTCCTCCAACTGAAACCATCGATGGGGCACTATTCCTCCCACTGAAACCATCGATGGGGCACTATTCCTCCCACTGACACTATTAATGGGACACTATTCCTCCCACCGACATTATCAATGAGGCACTATTCCTCCCAATGACACCATCAATGGGACACTATTCATCCCACTGACATCATCATCGATGAGGCACTATTCCTTCTATTGACACCATCAATGGGACACTATTCCTCAATCTGACACCAATGATGTGGCACCATTTGTTCCACTTTAATGGGACACTGTTACCAAGAATGCGATATTGCTGTTTGACCAGGGCATTTTCTGCTTCCATAAGCCCCAGTCTGGACCCCCATGAAGCCAGATGGACAGTAAACTGGTCCTTTGTTTAGAAAGTTCGGAGACCTCTGCTATAAAGCATATCTAATGCTTTGCATTGCACAGGCAAAGCACAGATTTGCTTTAAACTACTGCTAGGCCCCTCCATTGCACCCACTCACCTCCATGACACCCCCATCTCAATACAGGGACAGAAATTCAGGCAGCATCAACTCTATCTAAAAGTAACCAATTTGGGCAGGAAACCATCATAGAAAAACCTCTTAAACTTTAAAAATATTGACAGGTCACCTTTAAATGAAGACCTAAACAATAGGATAGTTCTAATCCTTCCTATTTTTCGGTGTACATTAGCTGGACACAAATTTTATTGATATTCCATTAAGCTTTTATAAAAAAATGTAATTTAATGAATTCCATTTATATTGTCCATGTGGTATATATTAGGTGGGAATTGTGTGTATGGGGTGATTGAATGTGACCAAGGAACTGGATAAATTTACAGTGGAACCGAAGTTCAAAATTCCATGTGTGTTCCGCATTGTACGGAACCCAACATGGTGGCATTGGGCATATGGGCTGTCCAACAACTGCTTTCCAGTCGTCACAGCACAGCAAGTCCATACACCTGACTAATACCTTCACAGCTAGTTGTTAACTCAGCTTTTTAATGTAGGGTCAAGAGAATTTTCTGTTCATATGATGAGGTTTTCTTCCCGGTTTCATCCCAATAGGATAGTTCTAATCCTTTCTATTTTTCTATGTACATTAGCTGGACATACATTTTATTAATATTCCATGAAGCTTTTATACAAAAATGTTATTTAAAGAATTCCATTTATATTGTCCATTTAGTATAATTTGGGTGAAAATTGTGTGTATGGGGTGATTAAATGTGACCAAGGAATTGGATAAATTTACAGTGGAGCTGAAGTTCAAAATTCCATGTGTTCCTCATGGTATGGAACCCAACATGGCGGCATTGGGCATATGGGCTGTCCAACAACTGCTTTACAGTCATCACAGCACAGCAAGTCCATACACCTGACTAATACCTTCACAGCTAGTTGTAAACTCAGCTTTTTAACGTGGGGTCTCACAGGCCTTTCTCTTCGTATGATGAGGTTTTCTTCCCGGTTTCATCCCAATATTATTGCACATTTCCACGGCAGCCCAAAAAGTCTCTTTGGTTGGATTTTTTGATCATCCTTTAATCAGCTTCATATTCAAGGGATAACTTTCTGGAGATCCTGAGAACATTCCTATAATTTTTGTTCTGTAATAAATAAATTATATACATGGATTACCTGAAATAACTACTTTAAAAGCATCTCCAGAGACAGGTAAATGAAAAACCCATATGTTTAGCTAAAAAAAAAGAAAAAACAAAGTATACAATAAAAAATGTTGCAATTTTATGTCTTGTTACAACTTAATTCAATCTACAAACTATATACAGTAATGCAATATAAAAGAACTTACCTGTTTGTATTGTTTGACTATAGTATGGTACTAGCTCAAAAGCTCTTTATGTTACATAGTGTGACAAAAAGAGACTCTGTAACTGAGAAGATAAAAAAATGTGAGGCAGGATTCGCATCTACACCCCGGTCACACCGATCCGAAACTTTGAAATCGTGCGACTTACATTGAAGTTGTACGATTTCAAAGTCGGATTTCATGCCGGTTTTGAGGTGCGATTTGCAAGACATTATTATTACTATTATACAGGATTTACATAGTGCCAACAGTTTGCGCAGCACTTTACAAGATGAAGGTAGACATTACATCTGACACAGTTGTCCAGGGGCGGACTGACCATTTGGAAACTCTGGCACACTGCCCGAGGGCCGGGGGGTCAGTAGGGGGCCCCATGAGATGCCCCTGGTACCATTTTCATAGGCTTTTTTGAGTTTGGGCAAGGACACAGTGGCCCCATGATCCCCTATTGCCCGGGGGCCCATGAGTTGTCAGTCCGCCCCTGCAGTTGTCTATGCAAATTGCACAAAAAAAAGTGCATGTGCTACTTTAGAAATAGGTGCAGCTCCGACCAAGTCGGAACCACACCAATATGACCACTGTAATTGCGGACTTGGCATGGATTTTGCAAGACGCATGGCATGCAAATCGTACCCAATGTTTCCGCCACCCCCCTCTGCCAATCCCTCCACTGGCTTCCGATTGGCCAACAGATCAAATTCAAAATGCTAACACAGACATACTAAGCTGTCCATAGTACTGCCGCAAACTACATCTCCGACCTAATATCCAAGTACCACCCAAAACGCACTCTTCGCTCCTCACAAGACCTCCTTCTCTCTAGTTCCCTGTTTTTCTCCTCCCATGCCCGCCTCCAGGACTTCTCCAGGGCATCACCCATCCTCTGGAACTCCCTACCGCAATCCATCAGACTACCACCTACTCTCCTCTCCTTTAGGCGCACCCTGAAAACCCATCTCTTCAGGGAAGCCTACCCCACCCCCTGCTAATTGCCGATCTCCTCCACTCTTCCTACCACTCCATCCCCCACAGCTTTTCCTCCCGTACCACTATCCCCTCCCTCCTAGATTGTAAGCTCCAAGGAGCAGGGCCCTCGAACCCCTCGTGTATCGCATTGTATTGTTATTGTACTGTCTCTTGTATTGTCTCCCATTGTAATGTACAGCGCTGAGCGAACTATTGGCGCTATATAAATACTGTATAATAATAATAATAATGTGACTAGGGACTTAAGGTATATATGACATTCCAGACTAGTGGTTCTGGGCAGAGAAAGCTGTGGATTTGGCTAGACACCTGCTACCAGGTCTGAGAATAGCTAAGAGCTCCCAGTTGGAGACCAATCCCAGTGTGGGAGAAGAAAGGTCTCATTGTCTCATTGAGGAGTCAGAAGAACCAGCTGAAGGCCAAAGGACAGAGGTCTCAGTTCCAGGAGTTAGGTCAGCTCCTATTGGGGTCAGGAGAACCCCAATGCATAGGCCAGAGGTGGCTAGTGCAGTAGGGTGCTGCAACTAAAGGCTAGAGCCAAGTGTTCAAGACAGCTGGACAACACAGTTTTAGAGACTGGTAAGAGGAGCAGTGCAATACTGCATTGAAGCTGAGTGAGCTTATGAACCTGGTGGCTCAGCTTTTTCCACTGTTTGTCTTTTTGATGAAGCTGGAGAAGATCCCCTGCATGGGAAGTCATTCGTTTGTGAACTTTTTTCTTTCTTTTGCATAAAAGTGGACTATCAAGCCCTTAAAAATAGTTCCTGTGTGCCGTGGACATACTAAAATAATGCATCTACCACGAGAGCCAACTACCCAATGTCACAATAGGTCTTCAGGTTGAAAAAAAGATAAAATGTTCACCAAGTTCAGTTTTGGGCCAAAGGAAGGCAAAAGAAACACCCATGGGCCTCTATGGTCAACTTTTGCCTCTTAGAGAAATAGTAACTTTACCAGTAGGCAACTGGACTAGTTTCCAATATAAAAAAAAGACCCTCATCATACTACTACTAACAATTATAATGTTGGATGTTATTATAAGAGAATAATCTAAACCATTTTTACGACTAAATATTATTCTGTGATAGGGTATTATTTCCTCTGGGTAAATACATCTATCTCCTATCTCCGCTCTTAACTAGAAAAACGCATTGACTCTTGCTGCTTTCCTCTGGGTAAATGCATCTATCTCCTATCTCCGCTCTTAACTAGAAAAACGCATTGACTCCTGTACATATTATCACCCAAACCATCCTCTCCGCTCCTCTCATGATCTCCTGCTCTCAAGCTCCGTTGTCTCCTCCTCCCATGCTTGTCTCCAGGACTTCGCCAGAGCCTCTTCCATCCTCCAGAACTCTCTACCTCAATCTGTCCAGCTATCCTCTACTCTAGCTGTCTTGAGTCAATCCCTGAAAACTCATGTCTTCAGGGAAGCCTTTCATGCCTCCGATTAAACACTTATCACTTCCATCAGCTCATCCCCCACAGTTATAACCCCTTGTACCACTTGCCCCACCTTATTAGATTGTAGGCTTTTATGAGTAGGGCCATCTTAACCCTCTTGAGTTTAGGTATTTGTATATTTTTGTGTCATTGGAATGAAATGGCCAAATTACTTTCTATCCACCCGATGAATAATAACAATATTTGTTGAGGAAAAGAGCTCCTTGCACACCAAAAATGTCACACAAGGTCGCGGTTTATGTCACTACAGCAGTCCCCGTATGGGACCTCCACTTTCACCCAAAAGGGTTTACTCATAAAGATGCTCATTTCTATGAGCAAGCCCTTTCGGGTGGAATGTGTCACGGGCTGGGACTTGATTGTTGGCTTCAATAACCTGGAACCTTGGGTGATGTTTTTCGCGTGTGGAGAGCTCCTTCTTTGTATTGGAACATGGACATCTCCGTGCATCATCTGCAGCCAGCACAGAATCTGGAGCGGAGAAGACTTCCAGCAAGTAATATTTGCTGGAAGTAAAACTGAGCTGAGCGTGCAATCAATCAATCTGCTGCCGCATCCCCCATGCTATCCTTTGTAGAAGTCACCAAAAATTGAAGAACATCTCTGTAAAGCAAGATAGGTTACACTCACCTTCTTTGCCAGTGGTGTTAGTGATGGGAGCAGCGCAATAAGATTCTAATATGGAAACACTGCAGCCACAGAAGCAACATTCTTCCACTATACCGGTCCGGGATTTGGTCCGAACTGTTCCAGGTTTACCTGGAATATAAATGTTTCATTAAAATAACACGAACAAACATTACGACTGGGAAACCTAAGAATCACATCCCCATCATGTAATGCAGTTGAAGAGCCACTCAACCCTTTAGCCCATTATTTATTTATTTTTTTAAGAGATTTTGTTTATTACATCTACAGTCATACCTCGGTTTACGAATTTAATTTGTTCTTTGGAACTTTTTGTATTGCGAAAAATTTGTAAACTGCAACGCGATTTTCCATGGGAATGCATTGAAAACCAATTAACCCGTTCTGGAGGTCAGAAAAAAGTAAAACAAAATCTATCTGTTCAAAACTCTTTGTGAAGTGCACTTTAAAGGCATAAATACTGTACAGGGACATGATTAAAAATTAATTTGTAAATGCACTGAAAACCAATTAATCTGTTCCGGAAGTCAGAAAAAATGTCAAAAGAAGTCTATCTGTTCAAAACTCTTTATAAAGTGCACTTTAAAGGCATAAATACTGTACAGGGACATGATTAAAAAAAATTGTAAATGCATTGAAAACCAATTAATCCGTTCATAATACAAAATAAATTGTAAACTGCAACACGGTTTCCCATAGGAATGCATTGAAAACCAATTAATCCGTTCCAGGGGTCAGAAAAAAGTCCAAAAAAGTCTATCTGTTCAAAACTCTTTATAAAGTGCACTTTAAAGACATAAATACTGTACAGGGACATGATTAAAAATTAATTCGTAAATGCATTGAAAACCAATTAATCTGTTCATAATATGAAAAAAAATTGTAAACCGCAACGGGTTTTCCCATGGGAATGCATTGAAAACCAATTAATCCATTCTGGAGGTCAGAAAAAAGTAAAACAAAATCTATCTGTTCAAAACTCTTTGTGAAGTGCACTTTAAAAGGCATAAATACTGTACAGGGACATGATTAAAAATTAATTTGTAAATGCACTGAAAACCAATTAATCTGTTCCGGAGGTCAGAAAAAATGTCAAAAGAAGTCTATCTGTTCAAAACTCTTTATAAAGTGCACTTTAAAGGCATAAATACTGTACAGGGACATGATTTAAAAACATTTGTAAATGCATTAAAAACCAATTAATCCGTTCATAATACGAAAAAAAATTGTAAACTGCAACGCGGTTTCCCATAGGAATGCATTGAAAACCAATTAATCCATTCCAGAGGTCAGAAAAAAAGTAAAACAAAGTCTATCTGTTCAAAACTCTTTATAAAGTGCACTTTAAAGGTATAAATACTGTACAGGGACATGATTAAAAATTAATTCGTAAATGCATTGAAAACCAATTAATCTGTTCATAATATGAAAAAAAAATTGTAAACCGCAAAGCGGTTTTCCATGGAAATGCATTGAAAACCAATTAACCCGTTCTGGAGGTCAGAAAAAAGTAAAACAAAATCTATCTGTTTAAAACTCTTTGTGAAGTGCACTTTAAAAAGTCATAAATACTGTACAGGGACATGATTAAAAAAAATTTGTAAATGCACTGAAAACCAATTAATCCGTTCATAATATGAAATAAATTGTAAACTGCAACGCGGTTTCCCATAGGAATGCATTGAAAACCAGTTAATCCGTTCCAGAGGTCAGAAAAAAGTAAAACAAAGTCTATCTGTTCAAAACTCTTTATAAAGTGCACTTTAAAGGCATAAATACTGTACAGGGACATGATTAAAAAAAATTTGTAAATGCACTGAAAACCAATTAATCTGTTCCGGAGGTCAGAAAAAATGTCAAAAGAAGTCTATCTGTTCAAAACTCTTTATAAAGTGCACTTTAAAGGCATAAATACTGTACAGGGACATAATTAAGAAAAATTTGTAAATGCCCTGAAAACCAATTAATCGGTTCATATTGTGAAAAAAATGTGTAAACCGAGCCATTATTTTCAATGGATTTTCATTCGTAAACCGAAAATTACATTAACCGAGGCGTTCGTAAACTGAGGTATGCCTGTATTTGGTGAATATACCTGTCATTTGTGTCATTTAATTAAATTCCACACAGGCTGAAAGTTAAAGTAAGGACTTTTGTTGAGTTCAAAACCTTAAATTGATTCGGGAGCTATTATTTAGATGGACTTGCAGAAAGGAGAAGTCTTAGTTGGATGTAACCAGTATGGCGATGTTTACTAGCAGTCTATATACCAAGCACAGATGAAGCAGTAGCTCAGTGTATGTAGAATTGCAGAATCTGAAAAGAACCTAAGCTAAGCAACCCCAGAGCATAAAAGGGCTGGTGGGTCACAAGCAGGGGCGGACTGACAACTCATGGGGCCCCCGGGCAGTAGGGGATCATGGGGCCCCTGTGTCCTTGCCCAAACTCAAAAAAAGCCTATGAAAAAGGTAGCAGGGGCATCTCATGGGGCCCCCTACTAACCCCGTGGTCCTCGGGCAGTGCCCGAGTTTCCAAATGGTCAGTCTGCCCCTGGTCACAAGAGTCTGTCATCTTTTGGCAGTTCCTCAATGTGTGATTTACTTGACTAATTGACTTGCATGAATTGAATGCCCAAGTCTGAGGTTTTCCAGGAAGCAGCCATTTGCTTTGCTTTGAAATGGTCCAGGAGACCACTTATGGGTTCACTTCCAAGCATCAAAATGAGCAGCAGGCCACCCAATAGTAAGCTTGCATTCTTAGGAAGAATAGGTTCGCCACTTCCTCATGATGTCTGGTCAACCATGGCCTTGTATGGCAATCATGCTTTGCAGGTCACAGGGGGTTATGGGGTGAAATTCCTTCTCTGTAACTTAAGTGGCATAATATAGACATAGTAGACTTCCTTATTAGATGAAATTCCTTCTCATACAGACCCCTTTGTCCTCCCCCAAAACTGGTTATTTTGGACCCCAGGGATCACCGCCATACTTGTGTAAGCTATGCAGTCTCTGTATGATTATGAAATATATGTAGAATTGTTATTTTATGTGTTTAATGATAACAGTACTGCTCCCTCGTGTCATACTGTCCTGAAGAAGCTGTAATAAAGGCGAAACGCGTTGACCACCGTGAGAGCACCTTGACTATATGGACGTTTGTTGGACCACCGTCATCACTGGTTATTTAAATCCCGCAAACTTCAGAGGGAGATGTTTATGGAGGGGACCCCCAATTTTGGGGATTTTCCCACCTTTTTTTTCTGTTAATCAACAGCTTTTTAATATATAATTTAACAAAACATTTGTATAATAAAGTGAACCATTGTTTTAAGAATTTGGTTTGTCTCACGCTGCGCCTTAAAAGTCCAATTTTTTTACTGTACAAGATATCTTGTTGGTGTGCCTTTTTGTACGAGGCGGTATAAAAAAGTTTTGAGACTAGTTTTGTAACACGCCAACAGGTGTCAGCACAAGGCTGCACGCACAGTCACAGGGAGCACTGACCTTCTTAAGTCAGTATGCCAAAAGACATCATACTGTGTACATCGGGAGCTGTGCAACTGGTGCTATTCTGGTGCGTTACCACATCTGTTATTTCTTAATGGACAGCAAGTTAGAATAAACAGCGAATGTGAACTTCTGCGTGAAACTGGACAAATTTCTGGATCTCCACAATCTTGTCAAAACGGCGATCTATGAGCTGGATCTTTATCATTGTCATGAGGGTATTTTTGAGGGTTATGCTTGTTGAAGGTCTTCCTGATTTCTAGCCCTCTTCCAGTGATGTTCTTCCACTCTTGAAGCGTGTGTGCCACTCAACTCATGTTAGCATCGCCATAAACTTGCCGAATCATGTCACACGTCTCTATGGCAGATTTCCTCAGTTTCATGCAGATTTTCATGTTTGCTCTTTGTTCTAACTTACTGTCCATGATGAAATAGCAGACCAGGTGTTCAGAAAAGCACCAGTTGCACAGCTCCCGATGTACACAGGACAATGTTTTCTAGCACACTGACTTATGAAGGTCGGTGCTCCCTGTGACTGAGCTTGCAGCCTTGTGCTGCCATCTGTTGGCATGTTACAAAACGTCTCGAAACTTTTTGATACCACCTCATATGTGTTATTTGGATGTGGAACTTTGAAAGCTATGATGCTTGACCCTAAGACAGGAAGCGTGTCACTAGCCAGATCACCTGGTGACAGTAAAGGGGAAAAAAAACTAAAACAAGAAAACTAATGCAGCCATCACATCAAATAACTGGCAAGCTGCAATACATTACATTTTTTGCTTTTGGATTTAGATAGGCTTTAGCTATTCATAATTCTTATTAAGACTGTAAACATCTCACAGTTACTGGAAAAACTCTATTAAAAAAAACATGATATGAAATATATGAGAAATGGCAGAAGAGTACACGGTCAGCACAGTGGCTAAGTGGTTAGCACCTCTACCTGGCAGTACTAGGGTCATTGATTCAAATCCCAACCATAGCACCACCTGCCTGGAGTTTGCATTTTCTCCCTGTGCCTGTGTGGGTTTCCTCCGGGTACTCCAGCTTTCTCCCACACTCCAAAGACATGCTGGTAGGTGAATTGGCTCCGGTCTAAATTGTCCCTAGTATGTGTATGTATGAATGTGAGTTAGGGACCTTAGATTGTACACCCCTTGAGGGTTAGGGACTGATGTGAATGTACAATATATATGTAAAGTGCTGCGTAAATTGACGCGCTATATAAGTACCTAAAATAAATATGTGTAAATGATCAGAATTTTTCAGTTTAATTGCTTTGGATACTTAATAAGCATGAATTATTGGAGGCAGGGTAATAGGTGGATTTATCTTTTAACCACCTCCCGTCCGGCCCATGTATATAAACGGCTGGACGGTGGCAGTGCAGGGTCGGGTGGCCGTTTATAAACGGCCTCCCCGCCCCCTGCTTGTGCGCGCTCCCTGGGAGTCACAGTGCGCGCTCCCTCCGGACACAGTGGAAACCCAATTTTTGTACGGGACCTCTGTGCGAGGTCCCGATCATGTGATCACTGATTGGCCAGTCAGTGATCACATGCAGAGTAGTAAGCAAGATGTCACTTCTGACATCATTGCTTACTACGTGTGAAATCTGTGAATGATCACAGAGGTCACATGGTACAAGGCCATTCACAACAGCCTTGAACCATGTGACAAGCTGTGACCAATCACAGCTCACACAGTAGTTCTCAATGGCTGCAAGAATGCAGCCAGAGAGGAGAAATGATTGCTTTTAAAGCCTTTATGGGTGTAAAAGCAATCAGTGTAAAAAAAAAAAAAAAAAAATCTTCTTCACCCCCCACAAGTAGTACAATGTCACCATGGTGACGCTGTACTGCTAGGGTGACAGTATGTAAAAAAAAAAAAAAAAAAAACATAAATAATATGAAAAAATAAAATAAAAATGTAAAAAATGTTTAAAAATTATAATTTTTGGTTATTTTTTTTTTTACTTAAAAGATAACGGAATAAATTTTGGCCAAGATTTATGATGAAATATTATTTATTTGCAAAATTTTATAAGAAAAACACTTTTATTCAAAATTTTTGGACTTTTTCATTTACATAGCAAAAAAATAAAAATCACAGTGGTGAATAAATACCACCAAAATAAAGCTTTATCTGTCTCAAAAAAATGCTAAAGAATTCAAATGGGTACAGTGTTGCATGACTGCGCAATTGTCAAAGTGTGATAGCGCTGAAAACTGAAAATTGGCCTGGGCAGGAAGGGGGTAAAAGTGTCCGGACTTGAAGTGGATAAAGAAATACATACTGACATAGAAGCCTCTGGCCCCACAGATGAATTGCAGCATGTCCACCAGTTCCGAACCGCACAGCATCTCCTTTGAACGTCTGTAACACTGAGCGTTGGCGACTCCTACGCATAGCGTAAACACCAGAGATAGACCCAGCATCACCTGACTGACAGTGAGCGGTGCAGCTTTCTAGGAAAGGTGAAAAAAGTCAACGTTATAGATAAACACGGTGAGGCAAAGGCCACCCAATAAACGGTTTGATTGTGTCAGCTTTCCTTCATTATTTCCTTTGAAGTATCTCTCTGGCTTTATTTTGTTGATTGCTAAGGAGGAAATAGGGTCAGGAAGGACCAAACTGTACCATCTAGAGCAGTGGTTCTCAACCTTCCTAATGCCGTGACCCTTTAATACAGTTCCTCATGTTGTGGTGACCCCCAACCATAAAATTATTTACCCAGTAATTATAATTCATGAGTGTCGTTTTACCTCCAATACTGCTGCTTTCAACACAGTAGCTGCTTTCAACACAGTAGCTGCTTTCAACACAGTAGCTGCTTTCAACACAGTAGCTGCTTTCAACACAGTAGCTGCTTTCAACACAGTAGCTGCTTTTAACAGAGTAGCTGCTTTTAACAGAGTAGCTGCTTTCAACACAGCAGCTGCTTTCTACACAGTAGCTGCTCTTTACACATCGGAAATATGTGTTTTCTGATGGTCTTAGGGGACCCCTGTGAAAGGGTCGTTCGACCCCCAAAGGGGTCGCGACCCACAGGTTGAGAACCACTGATCTAGAAAATCCAAAAGTGACGAATTCATCCATGAGAACATACAATTTCTTTAGCTATGCAAGAGTTTATCCTGTTAAAGCTGAACTCCAGAAATTATTTGTGCTGCATGCTTCCATTGGTCCAGCTTGGCACAATGTAAGTATACAGTACATAGCTCATTCCTGTTGGACCCCTGGGGAAGATGACTATTACTGTGGTGGTGGGCACTACTCTAGCGTTAGGTGCAATCTTCTTGGTCCTGCTCGGGTTCTGTGCAAGGGGCTTCCCCTGTGTGTACTGAACATAGGGATTCGGGCACTATGCACGGTCGCCATTTATATGTGAGGCACCCCCGGAAGAGCCACTGGTGAACTAGTCCTATTCCCCCAGTTAGTCCTGTTTCACATGAGCTTCCGCTTGTATAAGAGCAGGCTTTGTTGAAGCTTTTAAAGTGCTATTCAGCACCAGTTTGTAAATGCTGAACACAGATCCTAATAGAAATGCTGATTGCCACTTTAAACAAGCTACTAGCAGGCTTCTGCAGAATTTCAACAAGCTTTAAGAAGTACTGAAGCCTACTAGCAGCTTGTTTAAAGTCGCAATCAGCACTCCCATTAGGATTGGAGTTCAACATTTACAAACTAGAGCGGATTGGTACTTTAAGAGCTTCAAGAAAGCTTACTGAAAGCTCTGCAAATGCTTTGGTAAAACTTGCTTTTCACACTGCTGTTTTACAAACTGAAGCCTGTGCAGGGGTGGACTGACAACTCATGGGGCCCCCGGGCAATAGGATATCATGGGGCCCCTGCAGGGGCGGACTGACCATTGGGAAACTCGGGCACTGCCCGAGGGCCCGGGGTCAGTAGGGGGCCCCATGAGATGCCCCTGGTACCTTTTTCATAGGCTTTTCTGAGTTTCGGCAAGGCCCCATGATCCCCTATTGCCCGGGGGCCCCATGAGTTGTCAGTCCGCCCCTGGGCCCCTGTGTCCTTGCCCAAACTCAAAAAAGCCTATGAAAAAGGTACGAGGGGCATCTCATGGGGCCCCCTACTGACCCAGTGCCCGAGTTTCCAAATGGTCAGTCCGCCCCTGAGCCTGTGTGAAACAGGACTTAGAGTACTCACAACCAGGCTCGCAGCATTTTCTGCACTTTTTCAAAGCAACAGTCTAGGGTTGCCTTTTTTTTTTTTGTTTTATTGGAACATAGGGGAGCATGTGATACCCCAAAACAGAAGAACTGGACAACTTGAGGTCTCTTTAACTATCTTGCTGAAATGTGAAAAGGAAATGTCCCACAACATCTCTATGCTGACCGTGACTAGTACTCCTTCCAGAGATAAAAGCTCCACACAGTCAATGACTTTCCAGCACTGGAGTAACTTATGCACACAATCATTGGTTGCCTTCTGCTGATATCCACCAGGCTCTTCCTAGCGAGGGAGATGTAGACTCACACCACCATAGGACAGCTAGACTCTTTCCCACCATCTTCCTCCTGGCTCTCTCCAGTGAGCTCCGCCAGACCCAACTTTATTCTATGACCTCAAGCTTGTAAATAGGCCCCCCAACTAAGCCTAGCTAGGACCTCAATGTCTTCCTGGTGACTCCTAGTGTTCTGCGCCAGGGTTTGGTGGCTCAGTTGGGACAACCAGATAACTACTATTTTCCGAAGGAGGTCACCAACCGCAACCTACATGCTTATCTCTGTACAATTGTACCTTAAACCACGTATCACAGCTTATATATGCATAGGAAGAACCAATGAGAAAAACTGAAAATATCCTCCTGTTGGCATAATAATAACATAGATGGGTTCAGCGCTCAGAATTCACAGAGAAGCCTTCCATAAAGTGTGCAAATGTCCTAACCACTGTGCAACCCAGGCTGGATGATTTATGCCATACTGCCCTCCTCAGATCGGGGAATTTTGTAGTACCAGAGGTTACGCTTCAGTAGGTGGCCGGCATGCGTTCCAGCACCTGGAAGGGAGCCACTACAAGCAGCTTTGTACCTCATTTAGGTGTACAGAGAGCAATGAATAGACCAAAGTATCCTTCATTTGAGAGTACGGGGCGAACATCTATACCTGACATTGGATCCCTTTGATTAGTATGGCAAAATTACACTAAGGGAATGGGTGTTATGGAAGGAAGCTGTGAGGTGCTCTGTCATGATCCTAAGGTCAAGTTCTTTGGGTAAAATCAATATGTTTTCTGTAGTTTTTAAGTATGGCAGTTTGATATTGGGCTAAACGGTGGTATTAAGGATGTTGTGCACCACTGTAGTTTTTATTTTTATTATTTGAGACCATTGTGGTGGTGTTACCCTTTGACCTGGTCCACCTCCTCATTCCTTTGCCAATTGAAAGGAGAGTAGGACTTTAGAATCACTCTTAAATAAGAGTGATTCTATAGTCCTACTCTCCTCTTTCTATTGGCGAAGGAATGAGGAGGTGGACCAGGTCAAAGGGTAACACCACCACAATGGTCTCAAATAATAAAAAAAATAGGTCAAAGGCAGGGGCGGACTGACAACTCATCTGGCCCCCGGGCAATAGGGGATCATGGGGCCCCTGTGTCCTTGCCCAAACTCAAAAAAGCCTATGAAAAAGGTACCAGGGGCATCTCATAGGGCCCCCTACCAGGGGCAGACTGACAACTCATGGGGCCCCCGGGCAATAGGGGATCATGGGGCCCCTGTGTCATTTGCCCAAACTCAAAAAAGCCTATGAAAAAGGTACCAGGGGCATCTCATGGGGCCCCCCACTGACCCCGGGCCCTCGGGCAGTGCCCGAGTTTCCAAATGGTCAGTCCGCCCCTGCCCCCTACTGACCCCGGGCCCTCGGGCAGTGCCCGAGTTTCCAAATGGTCAGTCCGCCCCTGGTCAAAGGTGTAGTCCTTGCTCTGAAGAAGGGGGCCAGTCCTGGTTGCTCCGTTCGTGTGATCCCATGAGGCCGGAGGGTGAACCTCTGGACTGTGGGGGTTGATTTACTAAAACTGAAGAGTGCAAAATCTGGTGAAGTTGTGCATAGAAAAACCAATCAACTTCCAGGTTTTATTGCGAAAGCTTAACTGAACAAGCTGAAGTTAGAAGCTGATTGGCTCCCATGTACATCTGCACCAGATTCTGAGTGCTTCAGTTTTAGTAAATTTCCCCCCGTGTATCATGATCTCTATCATTCCATGTTTGGTTTGTGAGTATATATTTTGGATCTTTTATCATTTAATAAAGTGCTTGAGATAATGCACTAGGCATTTGCGCCTTTCTGTTCTTTGTTGTTTACCATAGATGGGTTACTACCAGGGGCGGACTGACCATTTGGAAACTGGGCCCGGCGTCAGTTGGGGGCCCCATGAGATGCCCCTGGTACCTTTTTCATAGGCTTTTTTGAGTTTGGGCAAGGACACAGGGGTCCCATGATCCCCTATTGCCCAGGGGCCCCATGAGTTGTCAGTCCGCCCCTGGTTACTACACTGATAAATCAACACCTAATGACATAATGTCCAAGACTAGGACAGCAAATAATTGCGTCCTGGCTCGGAACTCCGAACGCGTCCGCACGTCTGACCTCAAACTCCTGCATATATTTTAAAGTTGGCTTTCAAGTTTTGTGTGGCCAAATATAAGAAGTGGTTTGTTATAGCCATCACGGTTAACCAGATGTGTTTCTACCGAATATCAATATTGCTTTCCACTTGACCGATGTCTCTGCAAACACAAAACCCTCAAAAATACGATGTTTTTGCCAGTGACCCTATGTACATGCATGGTATTCACTGCCAATCAGCTCACTGTATCTCCCTGTCTGTAGACAAATAATGAAATGTTTGTTTGGCCCTGTGAAGAGTGGGGAGGGTGGAGGTCATGGCTGCACAGCTGTTCATAGGTACAGCAGACAAGATAATAGGACCCTCAAGCTAAAAGAAGAAAAAAAAAGACCTAATACAAACATTGTCATATCCATGACTTATCCATGACAAAACATCACGTAACCCAGCATATCATGAGACTCTCTGCATACAAGACATTCCAGAGCCAGTTGTTCCTCTTTATATTTAACAATTTTTTTTTGCTTTTTAGAGATGAAGGGGTTCATTCACTAAAGGCTAATGCATCGTTCAACTTGCAAGTGAAGTTGCACTTTGCAAGGGAAATTTCCCCAGAGCTTAGCGGATGCGGATAATACAGAGTCATTGTTAAAGTGGAGCTTTAGTCAGAAAATTAAAAGTGTTACTAAACCCACAACAGTACAGTCTGTAGATGCAGTAAAGCATGCTTGTTATACTCACTGTGGAACCTAAGGGGTTAATCCTCTGCATTGTGTAAAAAGGCTGTTTGATCCTGTCTTCTCTGATCCTCCCCTTCTTCTACACTCCCCAATCCATCTGCTGA